TTCCAATTCTTAAAAGAAACATTAAGGTGCTTTCAAAATACTTAAAACAAATGTTAATTGACAAAATAAGAGAGATAGCACTGATCACGCAACGCAGTCTTAGCAATATCAAAAAACAAGGGTAAGCAACTGGGTACCAAACGGTAGAAAACAAACGGGGATAATACTTTTATTTATATGCTTTTCGGTAGTTTAAAAAAATATATCAGTGAAATAAAAAACTGATAATTCACTGTTTGAAACCATGAAACTATCAATTTGATATTTTCACAGTATAAGATTTAAGCCCGTTACGTTATTTCAGTGGAATACTAGGTGCATAGTACTGGAAACCAACGTAATGACGTAACGTTGCTTTTTATTTAGCGCGATTTTCATTTAGCATTATGTTAAAATGTCTTTTTAAACGTTTCTTTGCGTATAATAGAAAGAAAATTTGTTTAATTTAGTGTAAGATCAAAAAATATTTCACCTCGTGAACACCAAAAGTTCATATTTCTTTTGATGCTCATTCGTTGAAATATATTCGGATCTTACACTGAACAAAACAAATATCCTCTATGTCATTTTGAATGTTGCGATTCTTTTATCCAATATGCAATCTTGCAATGACAATAATTATAATCTATAAATGTAAAATAATCTAACATATATATGCTATACAATGAGCCATTATAGCTCTAAGTTTATTTATTTTAGGATTTAAATTGCGTGTTGTTTACAAATGTTTCATAAATAAAATCTGCCTACACTAACGATATTTATTATAATTAACGGTTAATGAAATCATTATGTATGAATCGTTATGTTTTGAACTTACTTTAAGTCAACAATAAATATTTGAATCACGGCAGCTGTATAACGAGAGTAAAAACCCAACAACTGAAAAAGAAAAAGGGATATTTGATGTTTTGAATTAGTTTAATAACTAAATTTTATTACTCTCTCATTAATAACAAAAGCGTGTACATACACTATAACTTAAAAAGCAGTAAAAAGCCAAGCTGAAAGAAGGGACACTGTTAATGAAATCTAGAGCTCGAGTCTTTGTTACAGATTTATAAAAACAATTCTTATGAAAATGATGTATATTTTAGTTTAAATATGTAACAAGATATATACATTTTCAATTTCTTATGAAAATATATATTTACGCTTTTTTCCCTCTCACAATATCGAAGGAATTCGCTGACTTTATGTTAACTCCTGCCAATGAGCTCGTGTGAATTGTAATACTAAAATTAAATGTCGTTACACCAGTAACTGAAAAAGTATCGTAAATTTGTTAAGGACAACTGTCATCAAAACGAGTTTGAAACGCTACATAACTATACACTTATTTTATTTACGCAAAGTATGAATGTAAATGTTTATTGTTATGTCGGTGGCCGTTAAATGTTGACCCGTACTTAATTTCACTATTGTTATTCTTTCCAACCTTGCAATTACCACTATCGTCCATGAATAGTCCCACTAAAACCATGTCTACAATAGTGCTAATTTTGCCAACCAGAATATATCTTATTACAGGATATTACATAATAGAAACAAACTACCTTCTACGTTAAAAATTTCAAAATTAATTGTGAATATATATGCTTTACCTTTAGGAATATCCGTTGAAAAACTGCTATCTAAAAAAATATAAAAGAATAATATAAAATATACTTTGATTCCAAATCGTGCATGATTCAAGAATACACATTTTCGAGTGACAGACTGACATAAAACAAGAGCCCGGTTTGAGCCGGGTGATGCTCCCCGAATAGGTTTTGGACACAGGAAAGTACACCTCTTGTAGTTTCAGAGTTATGTTCCTGGAGAAAGTTCAAAGTGCAATAATTCCAAAATTAGGCAAGGCAGAGTAACAGTTCTTTGCACTGCACTTCTAATCAATGTGATCTATCAACCTACAAAGTTTCCTGATGATATCTCTTATGATTTCCGAGTTATGTCCCGGACAATTCAAAAAGTAAAAATAAACAAAGGGCAATTACTCCAGAATTAGGCAAGGTAGAGTTATGATTCTTGTGCACTGCACATCTACCAATTGAGATATATCTACATACAAAGTTTCATGTTGATATCTCTTATAGTTTTACAGCTATGTCCTGGAAAAGATTTTTCTAAAAGGGGAGATTATTCAAAAATGAGGCTTAACAGAGTTATGGTTCTTTTGCACTGCACCTCTACTCAATGAGATCTATCAACCTACAAAGTTTCATGTTGATATCTCTTATAGTTTTAGAGTTATGCCCCGGACAAGATTTTTCTATAAGGGGAGATAATTCAAAAACCAGGCAAAATAGAGTTATGGTTCTTTGACACTGCACTCCCCTCGATGCCCTCTACCACTGTATGAAGTTTCAACAAATTATCTCCAAGGGTTTTCAAGTTATAATCCGGACAAAGTTCAAAGTATTAAAATTAACAAAGGGCAATAACTCCAAAATTAGGACAAAAAGAGTTATTGTTCTTATGCACTGCACATCTACCCATTGAGATCTATTCACCTACAAAGTTTCATGTTGATATCTCTTATACTTTAAGAGATATGCCCCGGACAAGATTTTTCTATAAGGGGAGATAATTCAAAAACCGGGCAAAATAGAGTTATGGTTCTTTGACACTGCACTCCCCCTCGATGCCCTCTACCTTTCAACAAATTATCTCCGAGGGTTTTCAAGTTATGTTCCGGACAAAGTTCAAAGTATTAAAATTAACAAAGGGCAATAACTCCACAATTAGGACAAAAAGAGTTATTGTTCTTATGCACTGCACATCTACCCATTGAGATCTATTCACCTACAAAGTTTCATGTTGATATCTCTTATTGTTTTAGAGTTATGCCCCGGACAAGATTTTTCTATAAGGGGAGATAATTCAAAAACCAGGCAAAATAGAGTTATGGTTCTTTGACACTGCACTCCCCCTCGATGCCCTCTACCACTGTATGAAGTTCAACAAATTATCTCCAAGGGTTTTCAAGTTATGTTCCGGACAAAGTTCAAAGTATTAAAATTAACAAAGGGCAATAACTCCAAAATTAGGACAAAAAGAGTTATTGTTCTTATGCACTGCACATCTACCCATTGAGATCTATTCACCTACAAAGTTTCATGTTGATATCTCTTATAGTTTTAGAGTTATGCCCCGGACAAGATTTTTCTATAAGGGGAGATAATTCAAAAACCGGGCAAAATAGAGTTATGGTTCTTTGACACTGCACTCCCCCTCGATGCCCTCTACCACTGTATGAAGTTTCAACAAATTATCTAGAAGGGTTTTCAAGTTATGCTCCGGACAAGACAACGGATGGACAGACGGACGGACAGACGGACAGACGGACAAGGCGCCGACTATATGCTCCCCCGAAATTTTTCGGGGAGCATAAAAACGTTAAAAATCTTACACAATATAGCATTGTGCTTATTTATCTAATTCAGTTATTACTCAAGTTCTGTCTATACAAAATCACTTTAGTTTCATCATACAAATGACTTGTTCATTTTGTTTGTTCAGTATTCATTTAATGTAAAATGATATTTTCCCAGTAGGCCTTACCTCCAACGCATTGTCCATCCGCCTGCATTTTCCTTGTACCCTTTGAAAACCTATGAAAGGACTTTAATCATTATGATTTACATTGCATTTCTTAAAAAAAGAACATCCATACAAAAACTGCATTGCTTTGTAGTACACTACATTGCTTATTTAGTGCTCTAGTGTTTCTTTTATTCAATAATACTTACCTGCAACGCAATGTCCGTCAGCATTTTCTTTGAAACCTTTGATACAATCGCATTGGTACCAGCCGTGCGTATTTACACATGTTGTATTAATCTTGTCACTGCACAATGTTGTATCTTCCTCACATTCATCCACATCTTGCGCACAGGTTTCCCCTTTCCAATTAGATTTACATCTACACTTTCCAGTCACCGTGTCACATGTCTGTTCTTCATTTTCAGCATTTATTGCTAGGCAGTTACATTGCTCTGTACAATTTTCACCAAAAGTATTCCTTGGGCATTCTGTTAAAGGAAATTAATAACAAAATTAAATATTTAACAATGATGTCCTTATTGTTACTTTTCACTACAGGACATTTTTAATATTCTTTGTGAATCTTACACAAATCTTGTATGTGAAGTTACATGTACGTCTCTATGAGAAAAAACGATTTTCTCGTCCAGTTGAACATCTTTTACATAAAAAGTTTATAACATCGGAAATAACTAGACATACGTAAAAGCAATGGGATATAGACATATAATCTACATTAGTTATGGTTAATGGAAAATAAGAAATCACACACATGTTTTTATCGTTTAGTTTTGTCATTTGCATATAAAGTGAATTTCACCTTTAATGTCTTAAAAAACCTGTATCAATTTTCATTTCTGTCATTGATTTCTAGCGGCATTTTACGTTACATTTACCTGCAACGCAATGTCCGTCCGCATTTTCCTTGAAACCTTTAATACAATTGCATTGGTACCAGCCGTGTAAATTAACACACGTTGTATTGTTTTTATCATTGCACAATGTTGTATCTTCTTCACATTCATCCACATCTTCCGCACAAGTTTCTCCTTTCCAGTTAGATTTACATCTACAGTTTCCAGTCACTGTGTCACACATCTGCTCAACATTTTCAACATTTGTTGCCACACAATCACATTGTTCCGTACAATTTTCACCAAACGTATTGCCGGAACATTCTGTAAACAAAATACATATATATCATAACGGTATTAAGAAGTTTCTTCATATGTACTTTAGGCATTCATAGTCTTTCATGAATTTCTTTTAAAAAATAAAATGATTACTTTTCAAACGTTTTGTGGGTTGTGTATTATGGCTTGCAGTTACTTCTACCGTTCAGGAGCATGTTCAATGGAAACGACATGCAACATCTTCAAGCATGTCGTTTTGACAGTTCTAGCTAGTATATAGCCAGCTTAAGCGATTTCGTTTTTTACACTGATTTAATGTCTTATACGAGCTCTTCGTTACGACATACTTATGTTATACATTTGTTAAATATCTCATCAAACTACAAGAGTTTTTTTACCTTTACACACATTATTAACCATATAATATCCTTTGAAGCAACCACAATGAAAATTTCACAAGCGTTAAAAGCATCTTCTTCACATTCATTTATATCTGGAAGATTTACATGTATATTTGTATATCCAATAATTTTAATTCTGTTAAAATACAGTTATAGGCTACCTACCAGAATGAATAGTATGGACATTTCTATACATTTTCTTACTAAAGTTTATGGGTTGAACAGGATATATTCTATGAATTTCATGTCTGAAAATGCACAGAATAACAAAGCACATGAATGACTTCCGCTAGAAAACAGCACCTGACTAAAGACAATAACCATAATTGTACAAAGCTGAACTGCTTTAAACTAGACAATTATATCTCATATTATCATATTTTTTTGTAACCCTACCTTATCTTTCTTACTATACCGACAGCGAATACTGTCAATTGATTTGTTGTTTGGTATTTTATTTCGATTATGTTTCTTTTTGTAATGAACCTATGATAAACTATGACTTGACTTGAAAATGATTGGATGTCTCACCACTGCAGAAATTCTCAAAAACTCGAAATCCAGTTCTACATATGCATTCGTAGGACCCATTTCTATTCTCACAGAAAGAATGTGAAACATCACTACATGAATCAGTATCGCATTCGTTTATGTCATCCAAACATGTTTCCCCTGTCCATCCCTACATTATACAAAAAGGCACAATGGAAAAAATACAATTTATCACGCGTAAGTATCAAAATTACAGTTTTTTTTTATACATTATTCAAGACTTTATCCCAGAAATAGAAAGTAGATGGTACTTTAATTCCGAAAATAATTTGCAATACAAATGTCAATGATTCTACCATCACGATACTAAATCATTTTATGTACTTCTGTAGCATTTATTAAATAAATAGATGTGTAATACAAAGAAGAGTACATTTGTTACAGTAGTCAAAAATGTATTATTTCCGTTGTAAAAATAGTTGAAACAACTTTTAAACACATTTGTAATTTAAAAATAATATGATATAAACAGTTTTCGAAAACATTTATGTATGGGAGAATTTTTACCTTTTTGCATGTACATACGCCACTTGTATGATTGCAGGAGTCTGTGTTTTCGATGTGGCAATTGCAAATACTGTTGCAGTTTTCTCCATAGTGTCGATTATCACAAACTGAAATATATTGTTATTCAATAAATCAACATCACATAAACATCACATAATTTTTCAACAGGTGCATGTAGTTGTAAGTCCCATAATTTTGTAAGAAAAAAGTGTATAACAATACCTTTGCACTCCCCAGAGGCTACCTGAAGATATCCTATGTTGCATTTACAATTAAAGCTGCCAGGCGTGTTAAAACACTCAGAATTGTAAGGACAAACAACATCACTATTCGTACATTCATCGACATCATCATCGCATTTATCACCAGTCCAACCATTTTTACAATAACATTGCCCAGTCTTGGGGTCACAGAAGTCCGTATTGTCTTTTACGCAAGTGCAGATGTCTTCACAATTTGTGCCATACTTGAATAAGTCACAAACTGAAAATATGACTCGATGAGTTAAAGATAAGAATTGTATATAATTTATCCGATGGAATATTAGACGTTTTTGCTGTTAAAAATATTACTTAATAACTCTTAATAACCTTTAAGGAACTCCACTGAGCCTAAAACATGTGAATTTCTTACATTGATCAGCGGGAGCACATAAACAGAGAAAAATGCAAACGTAAAGAAGGAAGTATACTCAGAAATAAAATGAAAATCATATTTTGGTGCTATTCTTAGCCCGATTTGAGCGAAAAGCGTGGCAACACTCAGTGGAATCCTAAGCTAATTTGTAACATTACTTTAAGATAAAATTAAAAAAAAGCACAAAGAAAACGACTTTGGTGGCATTCCTTGTAAATCACTAACCTTGACATGTGACCTTGTCTTCCTTAAGGAAATATCCGATTTGACAATTGCACGTGTAACTGCCATTAGTATTGATGCAATTGTGGGAACAAGGCGTTTCACTGCATTCATCTATGTCTGAAAGAAGTATATAATATCTTTACATGCTATATGTAAATAAATGTGAAAAAGAATCTAAACTAAAATAAAAAAGGTGAGACAAAATCGCGCAGTTGTGTTCCTTGAGATACATAGCATATCTAAAAATGATAAATTGTTTGATAATTTCATACTATGACTCTTTTACAAAGAATACAGACATGTATATCAATAACCTCTATATTGTTTGTATTTTTACATAACTTACCAACACAAATGTCATTATTTTTTACATATCCTTTAAAACAACGACATTCTATCTCACTGTCCTGCATCATGCATAATGCGTTATCCCCACACGTTGATGAATTTTCTTCTGTACACACATATATGGCTGAAAATGAAAAAATACATCTGTAATTTTGAAGATTAATGTCTGTGTTAGCATATGAAAAAAATACTAAAAATACTCTGGATTTATATATGTATCAAGACGATAATATCATTAATAATAATAATGATAATAACAATAATTAAGGAAAAATGATAAGAATATCTTCCAGGTATTATTAAAATATTTATATTATTATATATTATATACATTTTTATACTCGTATAATTAAAAAATATGACAATTTGAATTGCAACTATAGAAATAGCTTAATTAGATGAATAATTGTTAGGATTGAATTAAATAATTAAAATCAATTAATTATGCAAAATTAAATAAAGTAAAAATTCTTGATCCTGTAATTGCCTTTTTCAAATATTATGATATTATGTCAAGTATGCCTGGTTATAGCCATTTTATTTTTTATTAAATTTTTGGGGTAGTTAAAATCAAATGTGTATAGCATTCTTTGAAAAGAAGTTTCCCTTCAAACGTTGTTTGAAATTTCAAATTTTATTTTTAAAAATAATACTTACGACTGCATGATTTTCTTTCTGTTAGATTGAGAGCATATCCATCGTGACAAGAGCATCTATAGCTTCCTATCGTGTTATCACATATCTGATCACAGTCATTTATTCCGCTACACTCATCAATATCTAGAAGAAAAGTTGGGCAGGGATAAGCACGGTCTTATACGGTTTATTGCGTTGCATTACGCAACGGTACGGAATGGTACGGACCACCACTGTTTAGTACGGATAAATTAAGTATCAAGTACATTTTCAATGGTATAAATACTATCTTCTTGTTAAAAACAGACATTTTTGCGTTTTCATGATGGGAAGATAATCATGAACATTTAATAAAAGATATTTGTCATTAACTGGCTGCAACTGTACATTGATATGGATCAGAATACGGAGGCAGTGATCAAGCTGCTTGATTACATGCATAGAGATAAAAATATAATTATATAATTATATATATAGTAATAAAATGCATAAGAAATAGAATAACATTTAAGGTTACATGTTTTACAAAATATTAGATTGTGAAATTGGAGTAAATATGAACATAAAACGTAGTCTCATAAGCCTCGGACGCTGGCCCTTGAGTGATAATAAGATTAATTTACAAGCTTTTTACATATTTTCAAAACACACACATTCACGATAATTAATGTAATTGTAAAATGAACAGCCAATTTTAAAATCAAAAGAGAAGCAGTATTGATCAAAATTTGTCATTGATGATTATATATTAAATCAGGTAAGAGAAGACAGAGAAGATGGTAGACTAGAGATTGGCTTTATGAAGACCTCTTCATGGCCAGTATGAGACTCTGTTGCTGAGGATTCGGCGTCCTACAAGAATTTCACTAGAATCGGACCCGAAATGTCTCGTGGGCCGGACGCGATGACGCTGAATCTTCTCCGCCAGAATCATTGAACTCTGCAATTCGCTTTCTAAACGCATTTTGAAAATGAGCATGCAAGAGGTTGACGACGGATATAATAGGTCCGTATAGATCTGTGGAGATTCGTTATTCTCCGTATCAGACCGTTCTTATTCGTACTAACCCGTGCTTATACTGTAGCAGACCGTAGTGCATCCGTAATGCATCCGTCCTGATTCGTGTCGCTACGTATCAAACCGTGTCGCTCCGTAACAATCCGTGCTTTCCCGGGGCTTTTACCTAAATTTTGGCGGTAAATCCGTCCGAACTACGTAGTTGTATTTCAGTGCTTGAACCGTAGTAGACTATGGAATTTCACATGTCCGTAGTAATCCGTGATCGATTAGACCGTAGCTCTTCCGTGGCGTTTTCCGTGAATATGTGACCGGGGCATAAAATTTTAAAAACAGTTTTTTAAAATAAGTGTCGACATTAAAACTGATCTTACCTTGACACGATCCTTCAAGCATGGTGAAACCTTGTTGACATTTACATGTATAGCTTCCGTTAGTGTTGACACAAACTTGATCACATTTATTCATTGCAGATTCTTTACACTCATCTACATCTATAAATAAAGATTTTTTGTTCAAGTATTTTTACCTAAAGTTTTCTTTCTAAATCCGATGTAAGTTTTATTTTGTAGCGAGTATAAATATATTAATATTTAATGAAATAATGACCAATAATAATAATAATAATGACCTTATCCAATTGATAAAATACACATACATTTAATAGCTTAATTCATTTATACGTTTATGTTTTGATGTTGTTGTCGCTGCTTTTTTGTTGTGTGTTTTTGTTTTGCTGTTGTTGTTGTTTTTTTATCAAAATTTTAAACTCATCGACCATAAATGTTTGAAGGACATGTAAATTTATATCTAAAACACATAGGAATGATTTGTTTATACATCTGTTTTCCGTTCTTTCAAACATAAATATTCAGGTATAAGATTTTGCCGAGCAAGTCGACTCGATTGAACAGAGAATTGAATTTTAAAGCACTCATAAATATCATATAAAATGATTAAATATAATTTCTATAAAAAAAGAAACAACATATTTATGGCAACTTGTACCAATACACTGATTAGAGATATTCATGTAGCCAGTTTTGCAGGAACAAACAGCTCCGCCAGCTGTATTAACACATCTTGTATTAGCAGCAGAACACCGTAGAAGACCAGCTGTACATTCGTCAACGTCAATGTTACAGTTATTTCCAATCCAACCAGAATCACATACACAACCTGAAATAGGAAAGACGTATCCATTTACTTAAACGTATTTCTTTTTTTATAAAAGACAATGCCTTCAGTTAAATTTCATCAGTGCCTAACGTAATGACAAACAAACAAACAAAGAAAAAAATAAGTCTCTCCTGACAGTGCATAAGTAAAATAATGATATCATATCTATTCTAATGTCTTCAATATTTTCAGATTTTCTTTCGGAGACAAAGTACACTCGTGCTACATAGATAATAGTGTCTCAAATTAGATGTGTCTAATTTTAATAAAATTTTAAAATCGATGTAAACGATTCTTGTATTCTTTTGAACCATCATTTCTCTGGAATGATAACCCCCTTTATGTGTCATATGTTTAATCAAATTAATCATTACAGATATTATATAAATAAATATAAATCACATGGCCATTTGAATTTTGAAAATGACTACAATTTTAAGTTCTTTTTCAATGAAGTCTCAAAATCTAACATTATAGTTATTATACGGAAAATAATCAAAATATGTAGAAAAACTGCTAGAAAGTAAAATTTAATATTTTTGTATAAACCTTACCAGTTTTCTTATCACAAACTCCGTGTAAACAGCTGCATGTCTGAGAACATTCCTTACCAAAATGGAATTCATCGCATACTGTAAAAATATATTTGAAAAGCATAAACTGTAGAATCATGATATTTATAACGTGATTTGCAAAACTCAAAATCCTTGAAATATATCCACTTTATTGTACGAAAAAATCACTGACTTTGGTATTAAGCATTCACAATCATTGAATTGAAAATTGTACACAAGCTTTAATAACAGAAAGAATATCATACAAATATTTCATATGTTGTCAGAAATACCTACATGAAAAATTAGAATAACTAAATCTAAATGCAATGCACCATACATATCAGAACATGCATGTAACTTTATGAGATTTTGCTACAAAGTATGTGTAGATTACCTAAGCATGTCCTTTTGTCATTTGCAAGTTTCGTCCCTGTTGGACATTCACAAGTGAAAGACCCGTACGTATTTCTGCAGGACGCAACATTATTACAAAGATTAAGATCGGCGTCGGTACATTCATTGACATCTACAAATTCAAGTATTGATTACAAGGTTGTATGTTAAATATTTTCTTATATACCTCTAATTATAATAAAGACATTGGCATTTTATTAAACGGTTGATATTATGAATTGTTATTTTGTTTGAAATACTGTAGACTTATATAAATACTCTATATATTGAAATTTATATGGATTTATAATTATTTTTAATGCACAAAACTTAAGGAAAATACATGAATATTTCGAAATAATGCCTAGTGGCAATGAACAGTTACACAAAGTATTCTTTTGCAGCCAAAATTGCATTTCTTTACGTAAGTGGGCAATTTATTTAACAATACAAGTGAACACATTTCTACAAAAGTAAGCAACTTGCTTTGAATAGTATCAAACATTGTCGTAATTACCTGAACATGTCTCTTTATCAGGTAAGATTTGAAACCCTTTTCTACACCCACAAGCATAACCTACATCAAGAGCATTGCAGTAATGGGAACAGTTCAAGTTCTGGAATTGCAAACATGGATCTGAAACTAAAAACAGATAAGAAGTATAAACATAATTTTTTTTAGTAAAATTAAGTGAAAAGTAACATTATGTGTGCTAAAATCAGTAAAATAGATATAAAATTAATAGGAACCATTGGCAAGTATTGCGATTGCTGTAACAAAATGTAATGTATTAACATATACTTTAAAAATAAAAAAGGACTGTATATATGTATTTTACATGTTAACTGATGCCATAAGAATGGAAAAATGTCTTCTGTTAAATATTTTAGTTACAGTGTACGTGAAATTCGACAGAAAAAGGTATGTATGTGCCATTTGTCATTATTACATTTTTATTATATACAGATTGAAAATCGAAGTGTTCTAAATTGTATTGCCAAATACTATTCTATTATCTGTATAAAGCTAATTAAATTTCACTACATTAATCTGTTATTGCATATTTGTATTTATGATATATATGTCATAGGAAAATTTAGTGCTTGCTGCTGAAATATAATATAATAACAAACCTTTCTCACAAGATGATCTATCATCATTTAGAGTGTATCCTGAATTGCAGTAACAATTGTAAAACCCAGGTTCATTCATGCAATTTTGTTCACAATCAGCTGTTCTTTGTTCACATTCGTCGATATCTAGAACGATATGAAAAAGTTACAGGTCTTGATATCGATTTAAATGTTTAAGTTGTACGTTTCACAAAGATAAACGGTGAATAGCATGCATATCATTAAAATATTGTCATAATAGACACAATGTACGTTATTCTCTTCAAAAACAAAACATAAAATGGACATCGAGAGACTATTATGAAAAAGATAATACATGTAAAAGGTACAGGGTATTTAGAAGTAAATATTTACCTGCACAAGATGTTTCATTTATCTCGACATATCCCTCAAAACATCCACATGTATATCCACCGAAGGCATTGTTACATTCTTGCATGCAGTCATGAAGACTTGGACTTGCACACTCGTTTATATCTACAATGAAATGACAATGACTCCTATTAACATATTCCTTGTAAAGTCCTTAGGCTAGTTAAATCATATTTCAGTATTTCAAATTTCTCTAATTTTTGTAATTTTATCTAGACGATACTTCGTTTGAGTTTGTTTTGAATTAGAATTCACTGGCATCTTATTAATTTGTTAAAACCCTAAAAATTAGTAAACCGCCAATACGATATTTGATAAAACATTCCATTTGATTTCTAGTTGTCCAGCTCTTTTATTCCAATGATGAATCTTCAAATAACAACGAATACCTCACATTTTCCGTTTATTTCCTAAATCCATTCATGCACTTACAGAAGATAAGTGATCCTTAAATTATTGGTGCATTTCTTCATTCGGGTATCTTTGCAAATTATTAGCGACGTCACATTCGTTGATGTCTTCATCACAAGTATCGCCTTCCCATCCGGCATCACACAGACATCCTTTTACAGGGTCACATATTTGCGCACCTCTACCAGTGCAAACACATTCGTTTTCACAGTTATCACCCCATCGTGTAGCAGCACATGCTAGAATGTCACGAACATGTCGTGTGAACATAATCATAAATATACAGTGCAGTGATGTTTATTGTTTGATATTATATACATGAAAATGTGTATGAATATGTATAAATATTAAAATAATTATTTATAAATCGGGTAGTTCATTTACATGATTTCAAGGTAGAAATGAGTAATCAATTTTCACAATAATCCGTTTAAATATTAGGTATATTAAAAATGTATTCGTACCTTCACAGTTGGTTAATCCGTTCAAATAATAACCGGTAAAGCAAGAACAGGTGAAGCTTCCATGATTATTCGTGCATAATTGGGCACAAACATTCTGTGCACATTCATCTATATCTATATAAACATTACACATGGGCATGAATTAATAAAACGAATGTTTTAAGATTTTATTTATAAAAGTGCACGTTGACAGCATACCGGTAAAATAGGTATTTAATAATTTTCTGTTCTTATGATAACATTTTGTCGAATATAGATATGTCTGATAGATTATATTTTTTATAAAAGTACATGTACTTCGTTTATACTAAAATACTGAATTATTTAAGAAAGAGATTACAGCCTTACCATTACAAGCGATACCTATAGCATCCAACTCCAACCCTCTGTCACAGAAACATTTTGCAATTCCATTAGCTTCGAGAGTACACCCACCAGTGTTTGCGCATTTACTTTCACTAGAGGAATTACAAACGCCTGTCGCTTAAAATTCAAAAAAAGTATTGGAATTAAAATATAATGTAAATAACACACCGAAACACGAACCATATTTGTATATTGTCAAACAGATTGTACACTTTGTGACAATTAAAAAGATTTGTTTCAGATGTTGATAAGGAAAGATGAAAGCACTTATCAAGAGAATAAATTTCTATTAAACCTGAAACATAGATGAAAGTTTCACATTTTCTTGTGATTTTTTTTAATAATTTATCCTTTCATTTATCTTAAATCACTTTTGGTAACAAATACATGTATTAGTTACTTCTATTAAAATCATTTTGTACTTTATATTGGCATTACAGTTTGAGCGAGCCGCTTAAATTGATAACTATAAATGATACCAATAAGTGAGAGGTTGCTTCACGTCCATTTTAAAATAACACACTTCCTTGCAACTGACTTTGTAAATACGTATGAGGTGTTTGTATTGAAGATGACAAGATCAACTTAAATACCTGTATCAGCAACACAATTCGAACCGTCATCTTGAAGTTTATATCCATCATGACATTGGCAGGAGAACCCACCTGGATTGTTTACACATAGATGTGAACAATTATCCAAGGCTTCTTCGCATTCATTTATATCTGAAAGAAATTAAAACATAAGTTACAAAAATATAAAGAGAAAAATTGAAAAGTAAATTAATAGTGCATAACATCATTTTTTTATTGGACCTTAATGTTTATTTGTAACAAACTGCTAAAATCGAAATAAGTGATGTAAAATCTTGACTATTCAAAGTTTCCATGAAATGCTCAAATTACAAAGTACTGTTTGAATAACAAAGAATACATTTAAAAAAATTATATACCAAATCGAAAATATTTCAATTGATGACATTGGATTTCTTTAAAGTCAGTGGAAATGTTCAAATAATACAGCTTAGTCGAGTAAAGCATAGTTTTCATAATAAATGTACGATACAATCAACTTGTTAAAGGCTCACTTGATGTACTATTCCCTCCCTGTGTCTCAATTTCTTTCTATTGGATTATGTTTATTTGTAAATCAAATAATAAACAAGCAGAGATGTTACGAATAAAATTACCAAAATAAGATCATTCATAACAATACCTTCTTACCATTACACTTGCTTATGTTCCTTGCACTAAGTCGATACCCAGTGTAGCATGAACATTCAAAACTACCCTCCGTGTTTACACATATGTGTTCGCAATATGTTGTCTTTTCAGAACATTCATCAACATCTATAATAAGAATGAAGCACTGGATGTGTTTGTTAGGTCCATCAGACGGGTCGTTTTATTTTAGTAGTAATTTAAGATTCATGTTTGCTTTCAAATTTATCTTTATAACCTATCTATTACCTATCTGCATGTAAGAATGTAACAGAGTTTTGTGAAACAAATTGGCCATTTAAACAAATGAAATTTAATAACTTGTTACAGACGGCGATGCCTTTTGTTTATGCTCCCACTTTTAATCTTTTACAAACATATATCTTTATATTTGTTAACCAAGACGTTCAATAGAGTTTCATACATGAATCGGGATTCAAAGTGTTTAATCTGCTAACGCTATTTCAAATGCATTATACATTAATAATGATATACAATGTAAATTGAAATATCGTGTAAGATTTTTTAATTGTTATCAGCATAAAAGATCGGATAATGTGTTTATAAAACCAAAGGAAGAAAAGCATCAACATAACATTTTGTTAAATTATTTTGTTATTTACCTATACACTCGTCGATATCAGAATCGTTCATGTCCTTAACGTATCCCTCAGGACATTCAGCGCAAATATAGGACTTGCCTTCGCTAAGCTGTTCTTTGGCACTTAGAGTTGTACATTCTCTTTCTAATGAACAAGGATTCGTTGAACACCAATCTTTTTCATTTTCACAGTTAGGACCTAAAAATAGATTCAAATTTAGATAAAATATAAAAAACAAGATCATTCAGGAGAGGCGGCATTCAATGAATGCAGCTCACATACGATCCATCAACATTGCCATTAAGTTATATTTTCAGCCTTGCTATTTCTTGAACATAATAACATCCAGCAGGATATTAATGATATCTTCATTACCCTGTATTTTAAAAGTATGTTCATAAGATACAAAGAGCCCCTTATTAAGATTAAACATATCATTATCTGGAATTTTGCAATCATGTTATCATTACCATCATATGGAGATTCGCAGATACATTCGAAATATTTAAAGTACTCTGTTTGTTGCTGATCATCTCTAATAACATTAGAACAAACACCATGTCCACTACAGCCAGTACACAGTAGGACATTTATAACAATGCCGGGCGAAGAACGACCATTACTATTCCTCACAGCAACTCTAAAAGTTTGAAATCAAATACTTTTAAAAAGCATAATAAACATAATTAATTGATTAAGCAATATGTATTTCTATTTCAATTTTCATTAAGAAAACATGCCATACTGCCAGAGAAGCTGATAACTAAAGCTATATAATGTAATAAACATTCAGTGCAACTAGTAAATAAGAAATATTCAATTTATAATTATAAATAATTTTGTGCTTGATTCAAAATGTTTGAATAAATTAAAAAATATTAATGAAAGTAGATATAAAAATCGGACATTCTAAAAATAAACGTACTGAATATCAACTGGGTCGGTGTCGGACTGCGTGTATTCCACTGTCGACAATGTTTTGTTTATCTGAGCATTTGCGTTATTAGCTATAAAATAAATATCGTGTCCATCTTCAAAACTTAATGGGCATGTTACTTTCTGTCCTAAAGTTGCATTGATATTTTCACATCCAGTAAGTGTGGGTTGAGTTTCATCTAAAAAAACAAACACATGAAAGATTCAGCATACTATTACAAAGATTATTTTTAATATTAATTTATGAACAAAAAGCATGCGGTATAGAATAACTTGGGAAAGAATGTTTCAAACGAAATGACTGTAAACCAAACAATACGTTTTAAAATTGCTTAAAGTATAAAATAAACAAATATCTTTTATGAGATGACCCTTACTAATTTCATGTCTGTCCAGATCCGCTTCAGTCTTTAAAATTCTAGTAGCATTTGCAACATCTTTATTTTCTGTGAATACGAGATCAAACACACATTCAATATTCTCGGCACCGTTACAGTCTTGCTCTGCTTGTGCCAGTTGATTAACATCAATCTCATCAAGAAATCTTGGAGTGAAGGAATTATTTTGATAATCTCCATGCGATTTGCCATCTTCATACACAAAAATAAGCTTCTTTTCATCAATTTCCCCTGTATGTAAAACAAAACCTTTTAGTTAATGAATGATTTCTCTTATATGACGCATATTGATATGACTGTTATGAATAAAAACGTAGGTACCTTGTAAATTACATGTTGAATTTTATAAAAAATTACAGCAATATCTTCCATGTAGCTAAAACATAAAAGACTAAATATGTAATATGCGGGATTTTCTTCAAGGAACATATTAATCAGCTTGACATTTCACAATGTTAACTGTCGCACTTCCATATGTGAAAAATATATGATTATTACAAACTGGTGATGATATATACATTTTAAACATTGAAATCGATGACATTCAAATGGTTCATCATAAGGTTGTCAATAAATATGTGTTTAACACTTAACCTGGTGAAATAGTACGACCAGTATACTGCAGATGAGCATTTGTTCTGTCAAGAGCCGATATGTTCTTTGATATAAAAACCCATACAATAAGAATGGACTGTTCCGATCTCAAAGAAGGGCAAGTCCCTTATATATGCGTTTTTACACTGGCATTGAATTAATCAATTAATTGAGGCCATTTTCTTACATGTCTTCCCGTAATCAAATATTTGTCTCTCTGAAGAATTTGCGTTTATAACAGTGCCATTAGGCATCATCAAATCGTTGTATGGATTTCCATCAAAGTTACCAAGAAGTCCGCTTGTGACGTTTCTCAGTGTAGTTGGTATAATGGTGCTGATAGACAACATTTGTAAACTAACAGATATGTTCAGCGATATGCCTAAAAGAAATACAACAGCTTTAGTGATGGTAATATAATCATAGATGTCATTAGGTTGCATCAAAGAGCATCAAGATCAAATGTATTTATATTTTAAATGCAAAAAAGGAGAAGCAATTTCTAAATTTCAAAAGCAGAAAATACTTAAACCGAGTGGGTGCAAAGCTTAAATTCCTAGAACTAATCATTTATATTTCCAATTGTGTAAGAAAGCAATATATGTCAAATGAAGAAAACATAAAATATTTTGTTTCACTAAGTGAATAAGAAATTATGTACATGGAAAAATTATTTGATAATCAATATTCAAATATAATACTGGAATGTTAAATTAAACAAATACCTGAAGTTGGAAAAAGAACGCTTAATACATTATCCCTTCGTGCCAGAATAAGATTGGCTTCGGGAGTTGAATATGTAAAGGGAACATCCAAATCTTTATAAGAGCCAGCATTGTATTGACTTGTTATGTCCACTTGATTAGCATAAATTATCAAGCCTGTAATTCACAAATCAAAAATTAATTTTGCTTGAAACATGACCCGAGCTGAAATACTCAGAAACATTTTAAATTATTATTTATTCATTCCTTACCATCAAAAACAAATCATGTTATGACATTTGACTTGAAATACTTGTCGAGATAGTTTTAGCACATAATGAAAATAAATGTAGCTATAAACTGATCGCTATTTTTGTGATAACAAATAAATTATTGGTTTACAAAGCTTAATGGTTTTGGTATGCGCGATTATGAGTGAACGGTTTCAATCACGTTACGATAATCGTATAAATAACATTCCCCTATATCCTTATGTGTCTTCCTACAACAAAGACGGCTTCACTGAAGTAGATAGAACATTAGGAAGCTCAAAACCATCATTTAAACATCTGTTTAGATTCATACATATATGCCGACTGTAATGCATGATTACCGTTCCGTGCTTTGTTTAGCTCCACATGTACAGATGCATTGGTATTGTCTCTTGCAGCGAACGCCGTAAATGCAGTAGCATCTGTTAGGTTACCGTCTTTCTTTAATGTTCTGTCTGTTCTCGCCTGGAGATCGAATGTAATATTCTCAGTCGAGACGTGTAAAAGAACGAACTCTCCGATTCCATTAAATGTGAAATTCAAACCGTCTAGTGTTGCAAAATGTGGGTCACCCCAAAAGGTTCCTTAATAAGACAGATTAAACATGGTTAAAAACAATTTGTTTTTAAAAGACATTTCTGAGTGTACTGGATTGTTAACAACTGAAAAGCTTGAAACAAACTGATGTAAATCGATGGAGTCACCATTTTACTTATTGTTATCATGTTTTTCTAATCCCCTCCCCATAAAATGCCTGCAACATTTTCAGCTTTGCCGAGTTGGGCTTTCTTTAGGGATTTAGTTTTCGCTATTAGCAAGGTCACCCCTATTTCTATATTCAATTTACATATAAATTTTTTAATCATAATTCTTTATTTTTGACTTGCTGAATATTATTTTTTCTCTTCTTTTGTTTTTCTGGTGTTAGAGGTTGTAAGGAAAGTAGTTTAAATGATTACCAAGTCTATAAGGGGTGATTTTGTAGCAGCTTCCAGGTGGTCTAAGTGAGTAATACAGACTACAATAATTTGACTTCATACAACAATTTTCTTTCGGCTCAAGGTCATGCTTCAAGTGTTCTTTTTGTATCTTTGGGTGATAAAGTTGGAAACCACCAGCAATTGGACGCTGATGAACCCACAGCCATGTTTTAAGGTCATAGCAACATGACTGAAATGAATGGCAAAACAAGAACTTACATTCAATTGATAATCCATAAGAAAATAATATATATTCTTTCTTTCAAGTTGTATATTCTTTAAAAAGTGAATATTTATTCGTTAGTAAAACTCAGCACAAAATTCCTTTATCATAAAAATTTCCTTAACAATTAGTTTCAATACTTAGATAACAGTGTTTACCTTTCCAAAATGTCCAAAGTTCCCCCTGTGAAGCATGTCAACACAATAATGTGATTTATCTTTGCGATTCCGATGAAGTCCAATCTGCCAAAACCATGGATCGAACCTTGACAATCTTATGTCACAAGGACATTCGGGGGTCAGACTTGCTATGTAGTCAAAATATCTTTTTTGATCTTTATTCTCGTTATACCAGTTGATGCAGTTAACTGCGTTATTTTGTCTGATATTTTCATTGCGGTATAATTGCTTAAAGACTATGCCAGATACGTCTGTAAAATCAACATATATGTGTGTACATATAATGACAACTTTACATGACCGTAACAATTTTCATATCAAACAAATACTTAAGCTAAATTTTTGACTAATTATCAAGTTACATGAACATTTGAAATGATGAATTTATCAGAACTATCTAAATCGAAATGAATAATATATTTTAAGCTTAACGTATTTATTTTTTAACAAAGGTAAGGCATTGTAATGATTTCATTAATATTTCAGAATGTTTAATTGCTAGACTTTCTACACTTGTTTAAATTGTTAAATTAAAACACATGTTTGTTCTTATATTATTTCAAGAAACCTGATTTTGAACGAGGAGGAACTGATATCCTGGCATCCAGACGTTTAAACATGTCCCTTGTATATGCATACGGGTGAGTGAAATAATTTGAAGAACTGAAAGAATAACCAATCCAAACTCGAGGTTTTGATAGAGTTGTTATCCAGTTTATCTGATCATGTCCGTATATATAAAATGTAAAAGTATGACTTCCATTTGTAGCCAATACTAACTGGAATGTTGATTTCTAAAACATAACAATAAATATAAAACTAATCATCTTAACGTGGCGAGTTCTTTTCATAAGTTAGTAACCTCATTGAACAGACGATTTACTAGACAACAACTTACGAATATTATTTAATTTTAAAGAAATTTTCATATTTCTTTGAAGGCATTGGAACGTCTTATTCACCAAACCCTATCTCAAAAGTTATACTGCTGTTCTACATATAAAGAACGAGAATCCACATATCATCGTATAAATTTTAATACTTTTATTTATCTGACGTAGACTTTTAATCATGCACTTATGTAACGTCGTAAAAACATTACTTTTATAGTTTTAAAGAGATACAACTTTACATGTAAAATATTTCTTTTGGTGGAAAATATCTATCACATACCGTTTCTCTGTCAAACTGGCTCATCTGCGGCTTGACTTCGTGCCATGTCGCAATTAAAGCAAATTTTGATTTAAAGTTGTCAATTCCTCCTAATCTTTTAATAATTTTGTCAATATATTTTACAGACTCGTCTGTTTCTATGTTAGAATAAGATTTCAAAATGTCATATGTCCTGAAGTAAATTCCCCCAGATTGCTTCAACCTAAACGGCGCGTGAAACGGAGCCAAAACGTCTTGACCTTCGAGATCTGATAATATTTTAGATTTTTTTGCAGGATGTTTGCCAATATATGCATTGTCAAAACTGACGATTCCGTGGGAGCAAACCTGAAAGGTAAATGAAACTGTTACATTTTATTTGTATCTACTGTTTCACTATTTTAATTTCTAAAATAGATTTCTGAGGTTAATATATCATATCAAATGCACCGGAACTTTCTAACTTACTTACTTATCCCTCATGTACAGACTCAATCAAACCGAGTCTGCAATTCTCTTGTAATTTTGTTGTGATTAATGCTTCCGAGGGATCACTTTGTTTCCAGATTTTAATTACTGCTTAGTTTTGTTTTCTATTTGTTTTCTTTTTCTTTATTTTTTGTTGGCTGTAAAATAACTTAATATTCCTTTCGAAGGTACAAAATATAACAGTAGTGTATGAATTATTACAAATCTGCTCACGTATAAATTTTTATGGGTCTTTCCGAAGACTGGTATTCCAGGATTAAAGGTTATCCGAGGCCCACAATCATCTGTTGTCTTCAGTTGTATGTCTGCAGCATTGCTCCCGTACAGAAGAAGGGGCACTGTAGATATACAACATGATACAAAAACATACTTAAACAGAGCATCATATGATTCACACAAATATGACCCCTCCAAATGTTAACTTAGATGTACTCTTAAGGCATTTGGTAAAATATAAACATTTTGACTTTTGATCAGTGTTTCAAAGTTAAAAATTAGAAAATTGTTTTCCATTGAAGGTTTCATGATAACTGCCGTATGAACAAATCTGCAAATGTTTCTAAATTCAAAATTTCACAATTTTCATGTTTGTAATGTTAAATTCTACTTAAGCCGGTGCTTAGGGGCGTGAACGGTAACTTGCACTTTCCATTACCGTCCATGAACTGGCACAATCCAACCGAGCCTACAACATTTTTAATTTTGTCGTTTTGGGCGTTCTTAAGGGATTCTATACAATAAGTTCCTGTGGGTAATTTAATTTTTCTTATAACAATAAATTATTGAAGATTGTGCAATGGAAGCGAGCGTTGCAACTATGGACGCTACAGGAAATGGAAACAGGTTCTGATAAGGAATGGAATAAAAATAAGTGACAAAGTGATGCATATAAAACAGTAATGAATGAAGAAGAGTATCTTTTCGGTCAAGAATTTGATAATTGCTGTGATGAAATAATTGTTTGATGTCCTTCATACCATTTATGATTTTTGCAATTTTTGTCTGCATAACGTTTTAGTAAACAGACTACAGTGCAATTTGCAGAGCACATGAATGAAGTGTCAATGTTTATTTGTTGTAAATTTCAACGATAACAATTCCCTAATTACCCTGTGGTATAACAAACATAATTGTTGCATTTAAGTTTCAATGAATAGAAATAGATATTACAATTGCACCTTATACCTACTTATATCACATTTCTTGCTTATCATATCGAAGATGTCGGTTTTGCAAACACATACGCTATTTTCACATACAGATCCTTCTAGTAAACAATACTCGCTTGAAATACAGTGTCCACCATTTGGTGCTGTAAAGAATTATCAATCAAATAAAACAATTGAAACAGAGTTAGTTTACACTAATTTGTTTAGTTCGATTGTGTTGGAAGTTATTATCTTATTAAAACCTCCCGAAACTGTTCAGTACCTTGCCAAAAGTGTTAACATTATTGCTCATGGAAACAACGACTTGGGTCTAGCAATCCTTAAAATATTAATTTGAGGCTTGAACAATTCTTAATTTTTCAGAAGGAGATAATTGATTTCAAGCTTTGTGACTATTTCTTGAAATAAAATGCATAAAAGAAATACATTTTAATATTTCCTGAAGCGCACTCCACATGCACGAAATTATTGCTACATGGTCATTGAAGCTCTACTTAAAACAGTATCATAACACAACAAAAGGCTTTATAATATTTAATCTAACGCAAAAGAACGAGACAAAAAATATGTTTAATTCGTTACAAATATGCTTTCATATCATCAAAATCTGACATTAAAACTCATTTAAGCAATTTGAGTAAAACAAATCATAATAATAGACTTGCATTCTTTTTTTATAAAGAAACTGTTCAAAATACTTAATGAAAACAACATTACATTTCGCTACACAACGTGGTGTATCACCACTCCATTTTCCATCACTTTTACAGACGACAGTTTCGCTACCAACAAGAAGGAAATCGGTGTTACACCTGAACCTGACTCTGGAGTTAAATGTTGTACCGTTCGTGGCATTCATTGCACCGTTGTCAGGCTGTTCCAAATCATTACAATCTTGACAAAAACATTAACAATCAATCAATACATAATAACTGAATATTGTATTATGTCAATGTAATAGGTAACTACAGTACTTTGGGATTTTTTAACGTTTGTACTTTCCATTTCCATAAAACATTATGTAAGAACAATTATTCAATCTCATATGCTGTTGTTGTGAACTTATTATTTGTATATTTATTTACATGTATTAAATTTGATGCAATAAATTAAGTTTTAAAGTAAGAAATAACTTACATGGTAAAGTTTAATAAAACGCGGCATATGTTCCGCCATTGCAGAAAATATTACAAACAATATATAAATTCAAGTTTCTACACTTACAAAAATTGATAAAGAGGTTTTATTTTGATTATTATTTGTTTATTTGTAATTCTTTCTTTTAAGTTTAAAACTAAAAATATTCCTGAATAAACTTATCCATCAAATTCTAAATGAACATACTGACAATTTTGCAATAAGGAGTTTCACTCCATTGCCCATTTGATAAGCAAGTTATCACATTGCTGCTATTTAAGTCATATCCTGTGTCACATGACACGTCCACAATGTCTCCAAACAAAGTACTTTGAGATTTAAATACCACTTCTCCATTTGCTAAGGACAAATTTCCACAATCTTGAAAAAAAAGATATTATGAATCACATTATTTTTTAATGTAAATAGTTAAAGGTTAATTTAAAGCTTTTACTTTATTGATTAGGACAAAATGTCATTATTGAAACATAGTATTAGAATCATTACTTAATATGCACTGTTGTTAACTGTTGTCTGAGGTTCATGACATATACTGTGTTGGTGCGACGTAAAACCCAATCAATAGAAGAACAATAACAAAAATAAAAGGTATTCATTGAAGACAATTTTATATACTCATTTTACCAGGATAAATATCAACATAATATGAGATTAATGTTAATTATAAAACATAGCTTTTTCCGGGGTCTAATTTCATAAACAATTATTAGTCATATAGGAGGGTAGTTTCCTAACCATCGTTCCTGGAGAGTTACACCAGTACTAGACTACCCTCCTCCGTGCTGAGCTACTAAAGCATCTCTCGGGGATTGAACCCACGCCAAAGAGGTAACTGGATTAGAAGTCATCGATTCTAACCCTTCGATCACGGAGGCGGTATGAAAACACATTTAATATAATAATATGTTCCTTATACCTTTGATCTCGCATGCAACAGTTTCATTCCAGCCTTTTTGTGTACAAGTTATTTGACTCGGACCAATCAAATTGTAACCCATGTTGCAAGTCACGCGTACGTTTGAACCAATAGTTGTGCCCAATGAATCGTCAACCTTGCCATTAGGTACAGCCAATACGCCACAGTCTGACAAAATACGCAATTTTTGGTCATAAAGAAGTAAATTTGCGAAAAAATAATTCTATATGGAAAAGTATCATTCCAGGCGTTAATATATTATTAAATGAAATATTCTGGACAAGAATGCCTTTCACATTGAGCTAGAAATAGAGGAGAACCTGTTAAAAAGATGGTCACGAGACGGTCATTGTAGACGACGACCTTAAACTTTGAGTACAGCAGTAATATCAAAGGTTAAGTCTAGTGACAGTTTAATCTTTTTATGTCTAATGCAATGATTAAAACTGTCAAGATGAGCATGTCGTATGAATGCCAGTATCTTTCCAATTAATTAAAGGTTGGAACAAACTTAATTTTCAAAACCACTTGATATGTTGTTCATCATCCAAAATGATTCAACTTTATATCCATTGAGCGAAAAGGGTGTTCAAGATGTGTTTCGCTACCAAAATTGTACTCGTATTATCTTATACGTATATTACTATTCAAACTGATAATAACATTCACAAAATTGACACTCACCCGATGTATCGCAAACTGGATTATCACTCCATGTTCCATCGGACTGACAAATTATCATGGAATCACCAGATATGTTGAAACCTGGTTCACACTCAATTTTAGCAACAGTGCCATAAGTGAACACTGTGACATTTGATTTTCCTTTGTTTGGTGCTGGGTCCCCGCAATCTAAGTATGATATACAAGTTCAATCAACACAACAAATTTATACTTTAATTTTATTCCTTGTTTCTCATCAATGGAAATTTAAGAATACAGTCCATGGTCTGTAGCGAAATTTCTATAGAACCAAAACTTATTATAATTTCTTGCTCATCAATACTCAGGTATTCCTCTATCCGATGCATTAGTTTGCAATCTATTTTCTAAATTCTGAATCAGTTTTAAAACATTTACATTCATTCGCAGAGATGGGAAATGCATCGTAAAATAAATATTCTGAAATCGTATAAATTTCATTTAGATTAGTTTTATCATTGTCATATTAAAAGAAGTTTCTATTTTCCTAAATGAATTTTACTTCTATTAATCTAAAAAATAAATGTCTATTACATAAACATTCTTGGCAGAAAAGCGTCTTCTGATTAATAACCAGATAAGTAAATAGATCAAGTAAAATTCAAAGACAGACTTTTTATTTCTGGAATCTTTACTAATAAAATTACCGACGCTTGTGCATTCAGGCCAGGTTTCCCAAGTTCCATTAGCTAAACAGGAAACAAGATAAGTACCATCTGGTTGATACCCATCATAACAAGAAACAACAGCAGTTTCTCCATATGTTGTTTTATTCTCGGTAAGTGTCGCCTCTGCATTGGCAGGATTTGGTATACCACAATCTGAAATAAAAGAATTCCATCATTCCAAACACGGAGACATGAGATAAAACCCACTACCTTATTAAAATCATCAAAAAATGTGCTATTTCATTTTCTTAAATTGTTTTTTACAATCTGAAACAAAACTGTATTTGGCACAAATCTTAATTTTTGTTCATTTGCCAAAGCATAGCTGTATTTCAAATGTCATATCAAATGTAAAATAAAAATGATGAAGATAAAACATTCAATAGTATTATACCTTTGATGATGCACGAGGGGTTATCTGTCCATTCCTCATTAGGTTGACACATTATTACGGTTTTGCCTTGTATTTCATATCCTTTGTTACATGAAACCATGGCAACAGTTCCGTTTGTTGTAGATGTTGTGTTAGTAGATCCAAACAAAGGTGTTGGGTCGCCGCAGTCTTAAGGAAACATTAAGGAAACATGAATTTAGTTCCTTGTAAAATTGTGCATTTTCAGACAGTCTTAATGCTTGAACGATTTTAACTTATCATTAAGCGTTTTTTTTGTGACTTAGCTACGGCCTTGACATCTGTTCTATGGCCATATTATTTATTTCAAACCATCAAAACGCTTTTAGTAAATGATATTTCTCCTATATCAATTCGTTTCAAAGAATAATATCTAGATCATTTAACTTCTGTGGTATGTTACTGATAAAAACGACGATAATTCGATAGAAAGCTAATTATTTTGTGTCGTACCTATCAATTTGCAAGTTGGACTGCTGCTCCATGTCGCATTAAGTTCACAACGTATTACAGAATCACCAATCAAATTGTATCCGTCGTCACACGTGACCGTCACATCAGCAAGGTAATGTGTAGATGAGGAATTTATGCTTCCATTTGTAGGCTTTGGCGAGGGGCATTCTGGAAATTAAATCATTGTTTAAATGTTTCATTATATAATAATAAATGCAAGTATGCCATTATTTAATTAAAATTCCTGTAAGTCTTTTAAGGTAGCTAATTGCAATACATACACATGTTTTAAATTAATTCATTTCACATGAAAGTAAAAATGTTAATGTACACTTTTCCACAAAAAAGACACTATCAAATAAAGTAAAATGAGTATATTTGTACATACTCAAAAATGAACAAATGGCAAATTATTTTGAAAGTCAGTTAACAACATTATTCAATCTGACTTTTATTTGCCTTTGTCATATCAATGGATCAACTACATCAAAATCATGAAAACGGAAATAAATACAAGAATATGTAAGTAAGGCAAAAGCTCGGCATAATGAACTTAACAAAACATGTTTATAGTGTATACATAAATTTCTTACTGGGTTTGTTTCTTCTTGAAAGATCTACTTTTTTCCGAACCCTTATACTTGTCTAAAAATGGGAAATTGCTATGGAAAACGATACGTTTTGTGATGAATGTTGAAATAATTACTTGCATGCTCTTGGTAAAAATATGTTAAATTGTTTTCGTTTAAAATTTTTAATTGAAATTTTTAAATTTACCTGTGCAAACAACAGAAACGTCGTTGAAGTGATAGCAATTATCATAGGTGACGTAACTACAATTGTTGATATGTGTAGAATTATCTTCACATTGTAAATCATCAACAAATATTGGACCAGAACCTTCGCCAAAGTAGGCACCGTGGTAAAATGAGGCAGCAGGACTGGAAACAAATATTTGCTTATATTGATTTTTTTTCGTGAAGCTACTACAAATTTGATTCAAATGACAAAATAATGAAGAATTACATTTCGTTTGACTTTCAAGCTTCTACACCTATATGATGTTGTTTTAGTAAATTGTAAGCAGGAAGAGAAATAATAAAAGATATAATGATGAGTATTATATCTTTAAGATGATTTCAAGTTCATGTTTTTCTAAAAAGCATAGAAACGAATATAGATCATTCTCGAAGGCAATGTACTCAAGCATTGATTGAATCCTTTATAGATATTCAACTGTATGTATTTGATATTCAATAAAGAAAAGAATAGCGTTTCTTACGGGAAGCCAATCATTGTGCATATTGTGTCGGCTTCATTTTTACCGAAACCATGGTCACATACTGTTCCCCAGGTGTCCATAGATTTGATTTCCACCCTACCATTTGATGTTGAATTTCCCCCTGACAGTTTTATTTCAGTGATAACTAATGGATAGCCTGAAAAGAAAAACAAATTGAATGCAGATAATTAATTTATAATATATATAATATATATTGTAATATTTACATTATTCTGCCTCTCCAAAGCGAGATGTCATGTGAAACCACGCTTCGTTTAATCTTGTTCCCTGAAGCTTTTTGGTTTGGTAGTTTTATAAGACACAGTGAATCAGCTCAAAATGTATGACCTAATTTCCCATTTACCAAAGAATTATTTCTCGTGAATACAAATGCCATCTCGACTTCTTGTCATGTATTGCCATGTTTCTATTTTTTGTATGTATATATATTAAATGATTTGTCAATGGCTCTTTTAAGGGATTTAGTACTAATAAAGTTTGTCTCTTCTTCTTCTTCTTCTTCTTAATCTATAATATTAATTTCTAATTTAACATTATTCTTTGCTCTAAAAAATTCATTTCCCGTTTGTTCTGTTATAATACAAAAACATACTATAATCATCATAACCGCCATAATTTCGTTGTATTCATATTCCCTTTTAATCAATACATCATGAATGTTTACATTAAATTTTAAAGATATTTCATTATTTATCATTTCCATTACATTTACATTTGTTCGCTTTTACAGTAAATACATTTGTTTCCTTTTACATTGAATACATTTGCTCGTACGTACCATATTCTTGACATTCTCCTTCTGTTTTCCATGTCTGTGTAACATTGTCACAAGTCATCTTTAATATGCCTAAATATGTTTTATAGTAGGAGCAGTCAGCATACAAAGTTGAACCATTGTATGTAAAATATCCAGCATCCCAATGAGAGTTGTCTGGCTCCCCGCACTCTTAAATGAATAAAATATATATTAAATGTAAGCATCAAGTCTTCGTTAAGGTAATATACTTGTTCCGGCTCTTCATTTATAACAAAATAATACAAGAGGGCCATGATGGCTCTGAGTCGCTCACCAGAAACAACTGTTTTTCAGTGTTATTTTTCAAATGAACTTGCTGAAAGACCAGTCCAGCTCAACTTTTCCTTGCCCTTCTAGTTATTTAAATATTTTGCCCTAATATTTTGGAGGCTTTGTTGAAATATCTATGTTGCAAGTGTGTTCCCATGAGACTATATAGAATAAAATAATGCAGAATAAATGACCACTACAGCAGGGTTAATTTTGATGGAACATTTTTTCTTTATAACTTATGTGAATGAATACACAAAATGTTACATGCAAAATATGTAAGGTGTTTACAGTATGGGACAACAAACTCTTTATTTGAGGGCAAAATTCGTGCACAATCGGTAAAATTATAGAGCTTTGGTAACATCTATCTTTCGGAACGGAACTCGTAAAAATTACCGCTGCCACCAATATAGAACTGTCGCGATTGATTATAAAGGGATTGAAAATACAAACAAATCGACTTACCTTCCACGTCTGGATCGTAGCCAAGATAGGAATTGCCTACTTCTTCTAGTTATAAATTACACTTATATGGCGCCCAACTGTCAAGCCTAACACACTAGTTCCGGTTGGTCCAGAACCTTCCGTTAACTTCCGTCAACTCCCGTAACCAGTACCATACGGTACTACAAAACTCTAAAGTCAATCGCAAATACTCGGCCCTTTCCGTCAGTCTTCGGTTAAGGACCTCGAACATAAAAATATGAATACACAGAACGGATGCGGTATTTCGGTCTAACCTACCCTAAGAAACTAAACATGTAAACAAATAGTAATTTAATGCTTGGAGTTGTTGACAAGTTAATTTCCAATATATGTAGTAAAAGTCCACCTAAAATAAGTGAATTCATAGGGACAAAAGCAAACAATACATTATCTATATAATTATTATTATGGTTGGTAAAACCGAAAGTACAAAAAAACAACCTGTTGACATATAGTCGGATTTGTTTAAAATTGAAATCAGTGGGTATAGTTAAATTGCAAATTGTTGTCAGACATATTTTCAAGCACAATAATTACCGGAAAAGACATTAGATATCAAATATATACATTCGTTTTACATTATCTCTGTTTCGTTTTATGTTAGAACTACTTTCAATCCGTATTGTTTCCGATGTTATTATATTTAATAGCCGAGGTAGTTCCGAATGCTCTAAAATGTGTGCATCCCGATGTGAATGGATTGTCTTTGTTTTCAATTATACAAACGGTGCAAGTCATTTTATACTTTACGTCATACCGCAATGCAAGCCACTCTGTACGAAGAACTCGCTTCGGAGCATTAAAAATGGTTTGGATTTCTCAGTTGTTTCAGCATTCGCCGATTGATTTTGTTGGGAAACCTCATTTGGTATAGGCGCATGTCGTTTACGGTAGATTTTGTCTCCCCATCAACGTTCACATTGTCTTTATTGAAGAATGAAGTCAATCTTCGCTGCTTTTTTTCCGAAGCAGCCATTGTGAATTTAAACGGATAATGTCGTCACAATCTGAAATGTCTGATCGCTTTAAACGTGTAATAATCACTAAAGCGTCTAAGATAAATCATTTGACCGATCAGCTGATGAAATTCTTGCTATTTATAGAAAAAAGATATACTATGACGCTCGCAAAAATATGCGTCACGGAAAACGCACGGCTATAATATTATTGCGTCAAATACAAAAGTACTGCGTGAAAAATGCAGAAAACGTTTTCTAGAGAAAACGCTGCATGTAGTGATGTAATTAAGTGAATATGAATGAAACCAAATAAAGTCCTTATATATCCTGTATAATGTGCTCAAGTTATTTTCTCTTGCCAGAGGTCATGACCTCAAATAATTTCATCAGCAAAAATGAAAGACATTCCAACATGAGTTGTTTCCCTTTCATTAAACTATAATTTGAAGAAATGCCATGGTCTGGGGTATTTTAGTTTTAGTAGTCCTAAAAAGGGGCAAATCAAATAAATATGAGCAATTTTATAAAAGATTTCTATAAGAATGCTAATAACAAAGTTTGGTGATCATCCACCAATAAGTTCTGTAGAAAAAGCGGTCTAAAGGTTTATATTATTTTAAGCTCCCTTGACCCCCTAAAAGGGGCCTATCAAACTAATATGAGCAAATTTGATAAAAGACTACCTAAGAATGCTAGAGACAAAGTTTGGTGATCATCCATCAATTGGTTCTGTAGAAGAAGATGTCTAAAGGATTTTCTATTTTTAGTTCTAGAGAGCCATAAAAGAGGCCAATCAAATTAATATGAGCAAATTTGATAAAAGACTACCTAAGAATGCTACCGACAAAGTTTGGTGATCATCAACTTATTGGTTCTGTAGAAGAAGATGTCTTAAGGTTTTTCTATTTTCAGCTATTTTGACCCCTTTAAGGGGCAAATTAAAATCATATGAGCAAATTTAGGTGTGACTGTCTCAAGTATGCTACAGATGAAATTTGAAGTAAATCTGTCCAGCGGTTTCAGAGAAGAAGTTGGTTGTTAACGAATGACGACGGACGACGGACGCCGGAGCATCCCCCTTTGATACTAATAGCTCACCTTGAGCATACGGCTCTGTTGAGCTAAAGATGAGTTTTAACATTAAAATGTTACTCAGTCGCTGACTATATTTTATTTACAAACTTTTATTTACAGACCTAATCAGAAATAATTCTAAACGTTCATTAGCTGCATTGTTTGGAAAACTTCAAAATAATTACAAAAAGCTTTATGTTCATCAAAGCTGTTGATTGATTATTCTACCTTATTACCAACTAATGATTTTCTTGAAAATGAATTCCCTTAGATGAACTTATAAGTAATCTTTAACACCTTTTCGTAGCACTCTTTAAAAATAGTTTCCCAAATTGCAAACGTTTTAAATCATAATTATATTTCACAAAAACGCAATTTGTAGATGTACTTTATCAAAAAGAGAAAAAAAGAATCCCTAAAGAAAGTCAAAAAAGGAAAAAAAAATTAAAATTATGCAGACTCGGTTTGATTGAGCCTGTTCATGTACGGAACTGTAAAGTGAAAACTACCGTCCACGCCCCTAGCACCGCCTTGTGCAGAATTCAGCATTTAAACATGAAATGGTAACATTTTTTATATTTAGAAACATCTGCAAATGAGATAACAAGCAACAGAAACGATGTGCAATATCAATAAAGGATCAGACTTAATAAGAAACAGAAACCATAAATGACCTACCATTACATACTATAGAAACATCTCTGCTATGACTGCATTCATTAAGAAACAAATACTGGCAATCACTTAGAACAACATCATATCTGTTACAGAAAAGTTGATCAATATAAACCGGTCCACCTCCTTCTCCATACAATGCCCCGATAAAGAATCTCACCGCTCTAGTAATTTGAAAAAAGAAATACTTAAACTTAATTCTTGCTGCCTACAACAATTTCTATATTTAATTCTTGAGTACATTCAACAAAACAAAAGTATAAATGAACATTATTTGTACGAATTTATAATACTGCACGTTTGTAACGTCATTTTTCATTGGATAATCGTGACGTTTATATAGTTTTATATACACGGCTGCTATCGAATAATGAAGAAATCTTACTTTTTTGTCTAAAATTTATGCTTGCTGTATTATAAATTCGTTATAAAGATCGTTTACAGGTTATATGGCGTATATAAACGGCTTTTTGCAATATTACCCTCGACTAACGGCTCGGGTTATATTTACAAATAGCCGTTTATATAGGGCCATATAACCTGTCAACGAGCTTTATAACTAATATTATAATACTGCACGTTTGTAACGTCGCTATTCATTGGATAATCGTGACGTTTATATAGTTTTATATACACGACTGCTGTCGATTCATGAAGAAATCTTACTTTTTTCTCTAATAACGATGCTTGCTGTATTATTAATTCGTTATAAAGATTGTTGACAGGTTATATGGCCGTATATAAACGGCTTTTTGCAATATAACCCTCGCCTAGCGGCTCTGGTTATATTTACAAACAACCGTTTATATAGGGCCATATAACCTGTCAAAGATCTTTATAACTAATAATATAAAGGTTTCTTAACTATTAAAGGGATACTCAGGCAAATATATGACAAAATATTAAATTTACCATATTTACTTAACGTATGCTAAAATGAAGTTTAAAAAGTGATTAAAAGTCCCTGCATGTTTTTTGTCTGTATAAATACTTTATAATGTGAGTTTAAAACCTAAATAAGTCTACATATGTTGAACGAAATGACGACGCAGAAAGAACTAATGAGTAGTTTTAAAACAAGTCATTTGACAATTACAATCCCTAGAAGTTAACAAAACAAATATTGTAGATATTGTAAGATTAAAACAAGCCTAAGTCGCTCATTTGACAGGTTCTTTTACGTTTTTATAGTTCACGGTGATAACTATGGTGAAATCTAAATGCTGTAACTTGACCCGCGTGGGTCAGGTTAGGAAACCAACATTTTTTTCTTTATATGGAAACAAATTTTGTTTCAAGGACTGCTTAGTCTATTCATTTCGATGAAATTTATAGAATATTGGATAGAAAATTAAAATCTAAAATATGAAAATTTTGACTGTGTCTCCCTTTAAAGAACTACATGTATATTTGAAGTTCTAAAACGTTTTTGAATAACCATAGTTTTGATTATTCCAATATATTTTAATTGCGGCATATTTGTATCAGTTGTAAAGGGCAAACATTTACATGATAAATCACAATTATCTACTGATTGAGAAATAATTTCCAAAACAAACTGCTATAATTTTTATTTACAATTTGTTGTCATCTCTTTTAAATTTGAAATATTGAGGAAGATATTCCCAGGAAATATATATAATAGCAAATCTAGTATCAGCCGTAGAGGATGTTGACGAAATCCCATAGGTATGTACAAATTATATTGTGTTACAAATGTTATTTTACGCGAGTTTACATCAAAAATAATCACGATTTTCCATTTGTTTCCCCTTAAAAAACCGTGTTTAACAACTTACTTAAGTCCAAGCATATTACAAAACACCTCCGCATCTCTGTTATCAAAATTAGAATCGCAAATAGTTCCCCAAGTGTCGTTAACTTTGATTTCTGCCCTACCATCGTTACGTCCTGTTCCATTTGTTAATCGCACATCCGTTATATTCAGAATCGGACCTAATGATAAAATTCTTTTATATAGCAATACATGAATATGTTCATCAAAATATATACAACATAATTTTAAAAAAATAGACTAAGTAAATTTTTATGATTTACCCGATCGCTGAACGATCTATTTGATTCATTGTCATGCATAACGGCAGTATATTGCTGTCTTTAAAAAAATAAATTTTTATGATTATTAGCTTATGATTCATTGAGAGAAATATTGAAGATTTTACAATTTTTGGAACGTAAACCAGTTAATATTTAAATGTTTAACGTTTCCGAAATCGAGACAAGTATACAATTACCTTTACACCAATTAAGTATTTTCTTGAATCTGAATTCCTTAAGATGACCTTATAAGTTATCTTAAACACCTTTTCTAGCACTCTTAAATAAATACTCCTTAATTGCAAACATTTTAAATCATAATTATATTTCACAAAATAAGCAGTTTGTAGATGTACTTTATCAAGTAGTGAAAATAAGAATCCCTAAGGAAAAACTAAAACGGAGAAAATGCTGCAGGCTCGGTTTGATTAAGCCTGTTCATGTACGGCACTGTAAAATCAAGATCCCTAGCACCGCCTTGAGCAGAATTCAACATTTAAACATGAAATGGTAACATTTTGAATTTAGGAACATCCGTAGAAATGTGATATAAAGCAACAGAAACGATGTGCAATAACAATAAAGGATCAGACTTAATAAGAAACAGAAACAATAAAATGACCTACCATAACATACTATAGAGACATCTCTGCTATGACTGCATTCATTAAGAAACAAATACTGGCAATCACTTAGAACAGCATCATAATGGTTACAGAAAAGTTGATCAATATAAATCGGCCCACCTCCTTCTCCATACAATGCCCCGGTAAAGAAATTCCTCGCTCTAGTAATTTTAAAAAGAAATTCTTGCTGCCTTCAATTACAATTTCTATATTTCATTCTCGAGTACATTCGACAAAACAAAAGAATAAATGAACATTATTTGTACGAATATATAAAGGTTTCTTAACTATCAAAGAACTATATTTGAAGTTCTAAAACGTTTTAGAACAACCATAATTTTGATTATTCCAATGTATCTAAATTGCGGCATATTTGTATCATTTGTAAAGAGCAAACATTAAAATGATAAATCACAAATATCTACTGATCTAGAAATAATTTCCAAAACAAACTGGTATGATTCGTATTTACAATTTGTTGTCATCTCTCTAACATTTGAAATATTTGGGAAGATATTCCCAGGAAATATATATAATAGCAAATCTTGTATCAGCCTTAGAGGATGTTGACAAAATCCCATTAGTATGTACAAATTATATAGTGTTACAAATGTTATTTTACAAAAAGTTTCATCCAAAATAAACACGATTTTCCATTTCTTTCCCCTTAAAAACAGTGTTTAACAACTTACTTAAGTCCAAGCATATTACAAAACATCTCCGCATGTCTGTAATCAAAATTAGAATCGCAAATAGTTCCCCAAGTGTCGTTAACTTTGATTTCTGCCCTACCGCCGTAAAGCCCTGTTCCATTTGTTAATCGCACATCCGTTATATTCAGAATCGGACCTAATGATAAAATACTTTTATATTCCATACATGAATATGTTGATCAAAATATATACAACATAATTTTATTAAAATAGGCTTACTAAATCTTTATGTTTTACCCGATCGCTATACAATCTATTTGATTCTTTATCATGCATAATCGCAGTGTATAACTGTCTTTAAAAAAAAAAAATATTTTATGGTTATTAGCTTATGATTCATTGAGAGAAATATTGAAGATTTTACATTTTTTGGAACGTAAACCAGTTAATATTAAAATTTATAACGTTTACAGAATCGAGACAAGTATAAAATTACCTTTACACCAATTAAGTATTTTTTTGAATCTGAATTCCTCAAGATGAACTTATAAGTTATCTTAAACACCTTTTGTAGCACTCTTAAAATATAGACACCTCAATTGCAAACATTTTAAATCATAATTGTATTTCACAAAATAAGCAGTTTGTAGATGTACTTAATCAAGTAGTGAAAATAAGAATCCCTAAAGAAAAACTAAAACGGAGAAAATGAAAATGATGCAGGCTCGGTTTGATTAAGCCTGTTCATGTACGGTACTGTAAAGTCCACACCCCTAGCACCGCCTTGAGCAGAATTCAACATTTAAACATGAAATGGTAACATTTTGAATTTAGGAACATCCGTAGAAATGTGATATAAAGCAACAGAAACGATGTGCAATTACAATAAAGGATCAGACTTAATAAGAAACAGAAACAATAAAATGACCTACCATAACATACTATAGAGACATCTCTGCTATGGCTGCATTCATTAAGCAATAAATACTGGCAATCACTTAGAACAGCATCATAATGGTTACAGAAAAGTTGATCAATATAAATCGGCCCACCTCCTTCTCCATACAATGCCCCGGTAAAGAATTTCCTCGCTCTAGTAATTTTAAAAAGAAATACTTAAACTTAATTCTTGCTGCCTTTAATTACAATTTCTATATTTAATTATCGAGTACATTCGACAAAACAAAAGTATAAATGAACATTATTTGTACGAATATATACAAGTTTCCTAACTATTTAAGAACTATATTTGAAGTTCTAAAACGATTTTGAACAACCATAATTTTGATTATTCCAATATATTTAAATTGCGGCATATTTGTTTCATTTGTAAAGAGCAAACATTAAAATGATAAATCACAAATATCTACTGATCTAGAAATCATTTCCAAAACAAACTGGTATGATTCGTATTTACAAATTGTTGTCATTTCTCTAACATTTGAAATATTTTGGAAGATATTCCCAGGAAATATATAAAATAGCAAATCTTGTATCAGCCGAAGAGGATGTTGACGAAATCCCATACGTATGAACAAATTATATTGTGTTACAAATCTTATTTTTTACACGAGTTTACATCCAAAATAATCACAATTTTCCATTTGTTTCCCCTTAAAAAAAACAGTGTTTAACAACTTACTTAAGTCCAAGCATATTACAAAACACCTCCGCATCTCTGTTATCAAAATTAGAATCGCAAATAGTCCCCCAAGTGTCGTTTACTTTGATTTCTGCCCTACCGTCGTAAAGCCCTGTTCCATTTGTTAATCGCACATCCGTTATATTCAGAATCGGACCTAATGATAAAATTCTTTTACATACCAATACATGAATATGTTCATCAAAATATATACAACATAATTTTATTAAAATAGGTTTACTAAATCTTTCAATATTTCAATATCACATGCAAAACAAACAAATATCCTCTATATGTTTTACCCGATCGCTATACAATCTATTTGATTCATTGTCATGCATAATCGCAGTGTATAGCTGTCTTTAAAAAAAACAAAATATTTCTATGATTATTAGCTTATGATTCATTGAGAGAAATATTGAAGATTTTACATTGTTTTGGAACGTAAACCAGTTATAATTAAAATTGATAACGTTTACGGAATCGAGACAAGTATAAAATTACCTTTACACCTATTAAGTATTTTTTTGAATCTGAATTCCTCAAGATGAACGTATAAGTTCTCTTAAACACCTTTTGTTGCACTCTTAAAATATAGACTTCTCAATTGCAAACCTTTTAAATCATAATTATATTTCACAAAATAAGCAGTTTGTAGATGTACTTTATCAAGTAGTGAAAATAAGAATCCCTTAAGAAAAACTAAAATGGATAAAATGAAAATGCTGCAGGCTCGGTTTGATTAAGCCTGTTCATGTACGGTACTGTAAAGTCCAGATCCCTAGCACCGCATTGAGCAGAATTCAACATTTAAACATGAAATGGTAACATTTTGAATTTAGGAACATCCGTAGAAATGTGATATAAAGCAACAGAAACGATGTGCAATTACAATAAAGGATCAGACTTAATAAGAAACAGAAACAATAAAATGACCTACCATAACATACTATAGAGACATCTCTGCTATGGCTGCATTCATTAAACAATAAATACTGGCAATCACTTAGAACAGCATCATAATGGTTACAGAAAAGTTGATCAATATAAATCGGCCCACCTCCTTCTCCATACAATGCCCCGGTAAAGAATTCCCTCGCTCTAGTAATTTTAAAAGAAATACTTAAACTTAATTCTTGCTGCCTTCAATTACAATTTCTATATTTAATTCTCGAGTACATTCGACAAAACAAAAGTATAAATGAACATTATTTGTACGAATATATAAAGGTTTCTTAACTATTAAAGAACTATATTTGAAGTTCTAAAACGATTTTGAACAACCATAATTTTGATTATTGTAATATATTTAAATTGCTTTAAAGTGCGGCATATTTGTTTCATTTGTAAAGAGCAAACATTAAAATGTTAAATCACAAATATCTACTGATCTAGAAATCATTTCCAAAACAAACTGGTATAATTCGTATTTACAATTTGTTGTCATCTCTCTAACATTTGAAATATTTGGGAAGATATTCCCAGGAAATAAATATAAAAGCAAATTTTGTATCAACCGTAGAGGATGTTGACGAAATCCCATAGGTATGTACAAATTATATTGTTACAAATGTTATTTTACACGAGTTTACATCCAAAATAATTACGATTTTCCATTTGTCTCCCCTTAAAAAACAGTGTTTAACAACTTACTTAAGACCAAGCATATTACAAAATATCTCCGCCTCTCTGTTATAGAAATGAGAATCGCAAATAGTTCCCCATGTGTCGTTAACTTTGATTTCTGCCCTACCGTCGTAAGGCCCTGTTCCATTTGTTAATCGCACATCCGTTATATTCAGAATCGGACCTAATGATAAAGTTCTCTTATATACCAATACAATGAATATGTTGATCAAAATATATACAACAAAATCTTTAAAAAAAAGGCATACTAAATCTTTATGTTTTGCCCGATCGCTATACAATCAATTTGATTTATTGACATGCATAATCGCAGTGTATAGCTGTTTTTTAAAAAAAAAAAATATTTTTATGATTATTAGCTAATGATTCATTCAGAGAAATATTGAAGATTTTACAATTTTTGGAACGTAAACCAGTTAATATTAAAACTTATAACGTTTACGAATCGAGACAAGTATAAAATTACCTTTACACCAATTAAGTATTTTTTTATGAATCTGAATTCCCCAAGACAAACTTATAAGTTATCTTGAACACCTTTTGTAGCACTCTTAAAATATAGAGTTCTCAATTGCAAACATTTTAAATCATAATTATATTTCACAAAATAAGCAGTTTGTAGATGTACTTTATCAAGTAGTGAAAATAAGAATCCCTAAAGAAAAACTAAAGTGGAGAAAATGAAAATGCTGCAGGCTCGGTTTGATTAAGCCTGTTCATGTACGGTACTGTAAAGTCCAGATCCCTAGCACCGCATTGAGCAGAATGCAACATTTAAACATGAAATGGTAACATTTTGAACTTAAGAACATCCGTAGAAATGTGATATAAAGCAACAGAAACGATGTGCAATTACAATAAAGGATCAGACTTAATAAGAAACAGAAAAAATAAAATGACCTACCATAACATACTATAGAGACATCTCTGCTATGACTGCATTCATTAAGAAACAAATACTGGCAATCACTTAGAACAACATCATAATTGTTACAGAAAAGTTGATCAATATAAATCGGCCCACCTCCTTCTCCATACAATGCCCCGGTAAAGAATTTCCTCGCTCTAGTAATTTTAAAAAGAAATACTTAAACTTAATTCTTGCTGCCTTCAATTACAATTTCTATATTTAATTCACGAGTACATTTGACAAAACAAAAGTATAAATGAACATTATTTGTACGAATATATAAAGGTTTCTTAACTATTAAAGAACTATATTTGAAGTTCTAAAACGATTTTGAACAACCATAATTTTGATTAATGTAATATATTTAAATTGCTTTAAAGTGCGGCATATTTGTTTCATTTGTAAAGAGCAAACATTAAAATGATAAATCACAAATATCTACTGATCTAGAAATCATTTTCAAAACAAACTGGTATAATTCGTATTTACAATTTGTTGTCATCTCTCTAACATTTGAAATATTTGGGAAGATATTCCCAGGAAATAAATAAAAAAGCAAATTTTGTATCAACCGTAGAGGATATTGACGAAATCCCATAGGTATGTACAAATTATATTGTTACAAATGTTATTTTACACGAGTTTACATCCAAAATAATTACGATTTTCCATTTGTCTCCCCTTAAAAAACAGTGTTTAACAACTTACTTAAGTCCAAGCATATTACAAAATATCTCCGCCTCTCTGTTATAGAAATGAGAATCGCAAATAGTTCCCCATGTGTCGTTAACTTTGATTTCTGCCCTACCGTCGTAAGGCCCTGTTCCATTTGTTAATCGCACATCCGTTATATTCAGAATCGGACCTAATGATAAAGTTCTCTTATATACCAATACAATGAATATGTTGATCAAAATATACAACAAAATCTTTAAAAAATAGGCATACTAAATCTTTATGTTTTGCCCGATCGCTATACAATCAATTTGATTCATTGACATGCATAATCGCAGTGTATAGCTGTTTTTTAAAAAAAAAAAATATTTTTATGATTATTAGCTAATGATTCATTCAGAGAAATATTGAAGATTTTACAATTTTTGGAACGTAAACCAGTTAATATTAAAACTTATAACGTTTACGGAATCGAGATAAGTATAAAATTACCTTTACACCAATTAAGTATTTTTTTATGAATCTGAATTACCCAAAACAAACTTATAAGTTATCTTGAACACCTTTTGTAGCACTCTTAAATTATAGAGTTCTCAATTGCAAACATTTTAAATCATAATTATATTTCACAAAATAAGCAGTTTGTAGATGTACTTTATCAAGTAGTGAAAATAAGAATCCCTAAAGAAAAACTAAAGTGGAGAAAATGAAAATGCTGCAGGCTCGGTTTGATTAAGCCTGTTCATGTACGGTACTGTAAAATCAAGATCCCTAGCACCGCCTTGAGCAGAATTCAACATTTAAACATGAAATGGTAACATTTTGAATTTAGGAACATCCGTAGAAATGTGATATAAAGCAACAGAAACGATGTGCAATTACAATAAAGGATCAGACTTAATAAGAAACAGAAACAATAAAATGACCTACCATAACATACTATAGAGACATCTCTGCTATGACTGCATTCATTAAGAAACAAATACTGGCATTCATTTAGAACAGCATCATAATTGTTACAGAAAAGTTGATCAATATAAATCGGCCCACCTCCTTCTCCATACAATGCCCCGGTAAAGAATTTCCTCGCTCTAGTAATTTTAAAAAGAAATACTTTAACTTAATTCTTGCTGCCTTCAATTACAATTTCTATATTTAATTCTCAAGTACATTCGACAAAACAAAAGTATAAATGAACTTTATTTGTACGAATATATAAAGGTTTCATAACTATTAAAGAACTATGTTTGAAGTTCTAAAACGATTTTGAACAACCTTTATTTTGATTATTCCAATATATTTAAATTGCAGCATATTTGTATGATTTGTAAAGGGCAAACATTAATATGATCAATCACAAATATCTACTGATCTAGAAATCATTTCCAAAACAAACTGGTATAATTCGTATTGACAATTTGTTGTCATCTCTAACATTTGAATTATTTTGGAAGATATTCCCAGGAAATATATATAATAGCAAATTTTGTATCAACCGTAGAGGATGTTGACGAAATCCCATAGGTATGTACAAATTATATTGTGTTACAAATGTTATTTTACACGAGTTTACATCCAAAATAATCACGAATTTCCATTTGTCTCCCCTTAAAAAAATTGTCTCTAACAACTTACTTAAGTCCAAGCATATTACAAAACACCTCCGCATCTCTGTAATCAAAATTGGAATCGCAAATAGTTCCCCATGTGTCGTTAACTTTGATTTCTGCCCTACCGTCGTAAAGCCCTGTTCCATTTGTTAATCGCACATCCGTTATATTCAAAAATGGACCTAATGATAAAATTATTTTATTATATATACCAATATGTTGATCAAAATATATACAATATAATTTTTAACAAATTAGGCTCACTTAATCTTTATGTTTTACCCGATCGCTTTAGAATCAATTTGATTCACTGTCATGCAAAATCGCAGTGTATAGCTGTCTTCAAAAAAAATTAACAGTGCCTAAACCAAACTATTTTTACGATTATTAGCTTATGATTCATTGACAGAAATATGTAATATTTTACATTTTTCAAACTGTAAACCAATTAATATTTAAATGTATAAGGTTAACGGAATCGGGACAAGTATATAATTACCAAGGCAGATCACTGATAAATCTTCTGCATGCGAACATGCTCCGTAGTAGTTGTTTGCAACATATTTGCAGTCGTTTATATCTGTATAGGATTGGCTGGTACATTGTAGACTCTCTATGTATATTGGACCTTCGCCTGGCCCATAACGTGCATTATAATAGTATGTGTAATATCTGCAAGATGACAATCAGTTAATTTTAGTTTCTTGATTAACAGAGAAAAAAAAATCAAATATTTCCTTTGTAATAAAGAAACAATATTTAAGTTACAAAGTGCTAAATCCTTTTTTCACTTTGAAGTCCGACAGATTAAAATAGTTTGAAATTAGCATAAATGATTACCGTAATCCTAGCATATTGCATATAACAGCCGCTGATTGCCAGCCATAGAATCCTCGTGAACAGATTGTTCCCCATGTGCCATTCACTTCTAATTCGACTCTACCATGATATGGTCCATTTGTACCGGCCAGGCGCCATCCAGTAACATTAAGCTGATACCCTGTAAAATAAGATATCAAATCTGAGACAGAATCAATTTGCTTAAAAATCCTCTTTTAATTCAAATGTTTCTTTGTATGTAACAATATTTTTATCGAGCTTAATAACTTCTTTTGCGATCAGTATTCACATGTGTAGTCTTATGATAGCAATTTGCATGTTGCACCTACATTGTTGTAGGTGATACAAAAATCATTAACATGATAATATGCAAAACTTAACTTAGTACTAATCATTTCTCTAAAATTTGGATGAAATTGCATCAGTCGTTTCTGTGAAGTAGGCTGGACAAGCTTCTGTGCAGCTGGCAACACAAAACACATTTTCATTCAAGGGCCATAACTCAGCATAAAAATTATCAAGCATAAAACCCATGTTATATGAGCAACTACTTGAGCTATCAATCATAAGAGGAGTAGTCTGGACAAACTAATGAAATCATTGAAGGACCATAACTCTGTCAAAACTCATGGGACCTTAAAACACCGATAATATCCACAACTAATGTTTATACTGATCATTCCTTTGAAGTTTGGATAATAGCTGGCTATTGGTTAGCTTGCAATACAAAACAATACAAAAACAACACAATTTTATTCAAAGGCCATAACTCAGCCAAACGTCATTGAAACGGAAAGCCCGTAGCAATATGCGCAAGTTAGAGGGACTGATCAATCCTGTAAAGTTTCGTTGAAATTGCAAAATTTGTTAAAGAAGAGTAGTTTGGACAAATTTAACAAAAATCATTAAAAGGCGACGATATTCACAACTGGACTCAGCAGTGATCATTTCTGTAAAGTTTTTGCACCAGTAGTTTCTGAGGAGTAATCGGACAAGTTGTGTGATGACGATCAGACAGACAGACGACGAAGAAGCGATTCCTATACAAACATGTATTTCATCTTTTATGTTTAAACTTACACGTATTTGAAAATTTAAACCTCTTGTCTGCAAAGAAATAAACTTGTATATGATATCTTTAAAATGCAACATTCAGTACCCCTATACAATAATACCATAATCTGAAGTTCAATTCTATATTATACCAGTTAAAAGAAAAAGCAAGACCAAATAAAACATTTAGAAAACGCTTATTAAAATTAAAGTGCTAGGGGCCGTTGACGGTAACATTTTCTTTGACCACTTAGTCAAACTATTTTGGATAATGTTAGAGAATATCGTAGGTGATACTTGTAGCTTTCGAATGCATGCGCCTTTGGTTTAAATAAACAGAACTTTGAATCATATTCAAAACAGCCTTCCAATATTTTGTTGAGAAATTGTAGATTCATTTCCAAACATTTCTTACTCCATGTCAGGCCTGACACAGACAGAAAACACAATCAAGCAGAGCATAAACAAACGACAACAATAAAACATAAACAAAATGATAATAAGCATACACATAATTTCTTACCTATTTGAAAGTAATAAATTATAAGTTACCTGTTGATGTTTGGATTGACGTCAGCAGAAACAACAACATAAACGTTATCTTGCACATTTTAACTGTAAAAAAGATACGAATTTATTTCTCTTTTGACTCGTTATACTAGTTGTACAAAAACATGCATAGCAACATGAAAGGTACAGAGAATACAACGCATTTCATTTCAAACGTTTACATGTAGTTGTATTGTTGAAATATCTATGTGGTTACAACTACAATAAATTCACAAAATTATATAAATGAATAAATAAAACGATGGCTAAAAGCCATATTATGCCAAATCATATATGCATTAACTACAGAAATGTCTGCCACTTTCAAAAACGTTATCACCTGAATTGACAGAAGAAAATAAAAAAAAGCTTAAAAGGATTTTTTATTTGTAACTGAGCCAGATAACATGATTATGTCTTTATTTTGTTTTTATCTCATCATATATCTATTATCAGCATGATCGATACTGGTAACGTATCTGTTTTATCTCAGATGTGTATTCAAACAAAAATGCGAAGACAGATATTCATATTCAATGGCAGGTTTGATAAGCCATATAAAAACTATTTATAAATTTTAAAATGAAACAGATATGTACTTTGTAACAGTAAAAATATCATCACGAGAAAAATACTGTTACCCGAGGCGAAGCATAATACACAATGGAATTTGACCACGGCCAAAAAGAGTTCACATAATCTCCAATTTGGAGATAGATATAAACGAGGTATGATCAAAAAGTGTTCTGCCGATTCTTCTAGAGCCACTACACTGACATTAACACACAATACGTCGATACCGACATATTATTGAAGATTACTGACCGAGTTACACGCGGTTTTTCACAGATAAAGTAACATTAAACATACTTTGTTTGATCAGTAGACTGGTGTGAGGGTGAGGGTGTGTAATTTAGACCAAATGGAGAAAGTTGAAATCAGAGCCGACATTTAGTACCTCTGTAAGAAAGGAAAAGTACTTAAAGGAATCCATGAAGACTTCATGGATACACTTGGGACGGAGTTCCCTTCCTAGAGCACTGTGAAAAAAATGTGCTGCTGAATTTAAGAAGGGCAAGGAGAGCATTGGAGATGATGAGCAGTCTGGACAGGGCAAAACAAGCCACCAACTATGAAACTGCCGAAGCTGTGGACGATCTAGTCATGTGCGATAGAATGCGAGATCTGCGAAGCATTGCTAGGGAAGTGGATATAAGCTTTGCTGCAGTTCAGGCAATTCTGACTGATGTTTATGGCATGTCAAAGGTTCATAGGCAGTTCGATGACGACCAGAAACGGACCAGGCTTGACATTTCAAGATATCTTTTATCTCGCTACGAGGATGAAACTGATTTTCCGGATCGTAACTAAGGATGAAACATAGAACCATCACTTCAATCCAGAATCCAAACAAAACCCCAGAGCATGCAGTGGAAGCACCCTAGCTCACCCCCTTCGAATAAATTTAAGTAGGGAAGATGATGGGTTCAATTTTGCTTGAATAGTCAGGGGATAATCATGATTGACTTGAGCAAGGTCATACCATAAATAGTACGTACTATGCAGACGGATTGAGACGTCTGCATCAAGAAACTACGCGTAAAAGGAGGGGCAAACTGAATCAATGTGTTCTGCTCCTGCACGACAATGCGCGCGTTCACACATACCAAGTTGCGATGGCTGTTGCAACTGACTGCGGCTTTGAAATTCTTCCCAACCCCCATTATTCTCCGGACTTGGACCCCTCTGACTTCTACCTGTTTCTGATATTGAAAACCAAGCTTCGTGGTAGACGTTTTGGAAGCAAGGATGGTTTCGTCGAGACGGTCAATGAGTTCTTTGTGGACCAAAATAAAGGTTTCTATTTTGAAGGGTTAAACAAGTTAGGGAGCACAGGTGGGCAAAGTGTATTGATGAAGAGTGCCATTATATTGAAAAATAAAAGCATTAGTTAGGTTCTCTGACTACCGGAAGTACATCGGTCTAAGAACTTTTTTTATAAATCCTCGTATATGCTTCCATTTCAGAAGTCTTTAATTAATCATAGGAGATGTTAATTTTGTGCATTATACTAGAAAAAATTTCATATTATACCACTGGTGAACTGTCAAAAGACAGTTTTTATTTTACACAATGCTATGCTTTGAAATGAAACAATTTGTCCTTATCACAACGTTTATATATTATGAAAAACGACCAAATGTAAGTAATGGTCATTGTTATGTTGCTTCGACCTGTTTTAGTTATAGCACAATTTGAACGAGAAGATGCAACAAAAATGTAAGATAAAACCAAAACGATCTTATATAACAATCATCTCGTGACAAAATAGTAACAGATAAAAGTGTTTTCTTGCAGTTTAGAATATCTGATATATATATTTTATCACGCGATAATACGATTGACTATCACGCGATATATTATCTCGCGACTGTACGATCATACTATCGCACCATCGCATTTTCACCATCGTACCACTGCGCTTTCAACGTCGTTCTATCGCGTTTTCACCATCGCGCTATCGCGCTTTCACCTTCGTGCCATCGCGTTTTCACCATCGTGCCATCGCGTTTTTACCATCATGCCATCGCCTTCCGGTGGACATGCGCACTTGTACATTTTTATCAACAATGGATGCATGCATAATTATGTATTATGTGTTATGTGAGAGGTTATTCGTATCGAGGCAATATTTAATATTGTGAGGCTTTCACCATCGTGCCATCGCGTTTTTACCATCATGCCATCGCCTTCCGGTGGACATGCGCACTTGTACATTTTTATCAACAATGGATGAATGCATAATTATGTATTATGTGTTATGTGAGTGGTTATTCGTATCGAGACAATATTTGATATTGGATTAATATTGGAATTGATCTCAGGTAATCTATTAATGACAGTAATACAATATTCTTTGCGCTCTAATTTCCCAATCGGTCCAGGTTAACGGCAATCATTTCTCACTTTAAGGCATTTTCTCGTACTTTTGGAGATTATTACTGCAAATTTTTTGTAAATTCGGCATCATAATCCGAACATAGGCTCCAGTGCCAGACTTGGGGATTTATTAGTAATTTATTTAATTTTACCTCTGTTTTCAATTAAATTACATAACTGAACAGAAGAGAAAGTTATTTTACTTTGATTTGTACATAAATGTATTCCATTATCATGATACATTGATCAAAATGTATCGACAATACATTTACAGTACTTATATTCAATTAATGATGAAAAACTTTAAAGACAATGTCACGTTACAATTTAAGTTGTTAGTAATAAGTTTAGAACGTTTGTTTTCAAACATCATAGTGTTGAGGATAAACAGTTTAAAACGTAATGTTTACATAAAATTGTATAAGTTTTTGTTGATTTGACATTACGCAATAACTTTGAGAGAGTAATTGATTGATAACCTAACAAAATTATTTCTGGAAAAAATGCAATAATGAGGCTGGCAAAGGCGCACAGAAAAAGTAAAATTCCCCCTACCCCTCATGGGGGTTAAAATTTGTCGATATTTTATCATCAAGTCAATAAATATCAATGTTAAAAATATGTGCACATATTTTTCGACTACGCCGGTCACAGTAGCCATGTTACTGGTAAAATGATAAACAATGCTGATTTACGATGACGATAATTATGTTTCTTTGGTGATAATGTTGTTGCTGTTGTTGATGATGATGATGTTTTATTAACGTTGATGAAGATAGTTTTAAAACGACGATTATAATGTTAGTTTAAAGTGTGCAACATTTATTGTCGGGAATTTACCATCAAATTGCAGAAACGTAAATGGTACGTAAAGACAGCGCCAAATATGTCCCACATATAAAGTATAATTATACGTTCCGTGACATAAACAGTCCGACAGGCCACAATGGGCCTTTAGATTGTTTTGTGTTAAATCTGATAGTAATCATGTCAATCAAATCGTAATCATAATTACTGAATGAATTTAAGCTATAATTGATTAATTACAATGAATATAATCAATTTTGAACAAGGTGATCAATTACATGATGGTAACCGTGTAATAATGCAAACGACAATAAAATAACGATAAACGATTACCACAGATCTGTCGCAGGCAGCTTTATCCGAAAAGACCCACATAGGATTTGGCGTGTGTACGCCACTTGTTTGTCTTCTGCGTACATATTGAACGATCATGTCTTGTGGCAAATTTGAAATTCTTTCGTAATACAGAAATGAAATGTATTTTCATTACAGATAGTACGACATTTTGTTTCAGTTTTCATTAAAGGACACTTAAAGAAATTAGGTTTGAAAAGAATACAATCGTTGAACTTCTGCCAGATTGAAGAATAGTATACATTCTTTCTTTATCTATTTAAAAGCTTAAGATGACAGTAAAAGCAACTGTTTAGACTCTTGTCGGTTACACAAGTTACTGTTAACTATACTGTTTCTTGGGAATAAGTTAATTAGTTAATAAAAAAATAACGTGAACATTTTACAAGAAGAAAACATTAAATAAAATTAAACATCAGCATTTCTTTGAGTCCATTTTGTTCGTTAAAGTGGTGTAAAATGCTATTTTGAATGTGCAAAATAGCACATGAAAATTAAAAACAAGGGCAAAAATCCTTACTGTAATCCATTAGCGGTCTGGTTTATATAATTATCAAATATCGGTCCTTATACCTGCTCTTATATTTTTGTGAATGCGTGTTTTCTTTTGATTGAGTAGCTTGAAGGAGAAATGTAACGGTGTTTTGTTTTGGGGTTTGGTTTTGTGATATATTTTTTCTTGCTTTGCAGACTGGCGTTTTCTTTAGTTGTACCTATGCTGCAAATTTCATCTGGCATGGAGGGTGCCAGATAAGTCGCCAGCCATACAACAACGTCAAATTCGCGCATATTATAACTTCCAACCTGGGCAACCTGCCCATTGGCGGTAACTCGGCAAGCCTCGTTACTGCCCAATAAGCGGTGTCCCTTCGGGACGGATATTCCGATCTGATCCTAACACATGGTAGGTATAATTGATATATCACATTTATGTCATTGTTACTCTTTATCTGTCATAATCTCCA